TCTTTCTTCTCTTCTGGTTTCTTTTCCAGTGTAGGTTCTGTCTCTTGGCCCCCTTGAAGCTGCTCTGAAACCCCGGAAGAGCCGTCGTCCTGAGTAACTGGCTGAGATTTCGCATCTGTCGGCGTTGCCTCTAGATAGGGAAAGGTTTCCGGTTCAGTGGCGGGGGGAGCAATTGGTCCTAACCACCCTTCGTGAATACCACGGATATATTCCTTCCATGCATGACGGCCGATTACCACATCCCCCTTGATTACAGGCTCGTCCTCGATGCCGAAATTCTGTCGAATTTGTTGATGGAAACTGTCTGCCTCATCTTCCTCAATGGGGTGACCTTCGCCAGCTTGCCGCCTTGTTTTCCTGATCCTGTTCGCAATGGCTGCACGGATATCTCCTTCTCGTCGACCCTCCAGCACCTCATAGTCCAACGCCCCAGCAACTAAAATGGGTTTTATATATTCCTTAAAATATTCTCGAGCGCTCCTCAGTCCATCACCCGGCGGAGCAGCAAGGAATATTGTAAGTTTTCGCCTAGCTTGATTAGGCCGTAAGGGTTCCTTAGCAATATGTGCAACTAAGTTGGACCATTTTTCTTGCGCTTTCCGTTTCTGTCTGCGGTCGTAGATCAGGGCACTGGTAAATGAGCCGGTAATGGACAGGAATATGAGCCAATTTCTCGATGGCAACTTGAATCGGATATTTGGCAGCCCTATTTTCAACGATATTAGTACCGTTTAGATTACAAATCCAGGTATGTTACATACCGAGCATGCGGAGGGCAGGATTCTGCGGTTTTGGGGGGGCGGGAGGTTTCGTGGCTGATTCCGCCATCTCGCTCCCAGAGAAATAGCAGCACAATTATGTATGTATATATATATATATATTATATACAGAAACTAGCACAAACCGTAGGGAGTGAGCCGGTGTGAGAATGAGAGAGAGATCGATATTTTCCATTTTGGACGAAGGGAGGTCATCCCGCATCTTCAGCAGGTCGGCACGACCTACCATCTCGTTGATGGTGCGGATACCCAATTTGGCCATTATCGCTCGTAGTTCGTTGGCGATGTAGTAGAAGAAATTGATAACGTGTTCAGGGGTCCCTGAGAACTTTTGTCGGAGCAAGGGGTCCTGGGTTGCAATGCCAACCGGACATGTACTACGCGGAGACAACATAAAGTTAGTCATGAATGTATGTATATCTATTCAACAAGATATCTTTTCGAAAAGTGTCCCAGAGGAGCAATCCCGCTAAACC